ATATAATGCTGTCATCCATTTGTTAAGCACCTGCCTACGATTGCGAAGGTCTTTATCTAATGACTTGGACAATTGAAAAGCAAAACTTAATAATTGGCCTTTTAACTTAATAAATGTCTCAGTCACTAATAGTGGCGAATAGGTATGTAAACATTAAAATATACATGCATAATAAGGAAAGAAGGAAGTTGTTTATTTTTGTGACATGTGCATAAATCAATCACAAATGTTGGGCAAATGTGTGTCTGATTATAGATCAGACATCCCGCACACACCACCACATTCACATACATTTGTGCTTAAAAATATACTATGCACATCTTTCAGTAATATTTTTTATCACAGAAATTTATTGAAATCTATAAGATGCTTACTAAATATGTTTTATTTAAATAAAAACACATACCCATAATGTATAGGAATCTGCTTTCCTTATTACGGGTCAAGTAAAGTTGTGCCTGTCTTTAAAAGAAACTTCCATATATATTTTTGTAATAACACTATACATGAATATTCATACTGCCCAATTACAGTGTAAAGTATTTAAAGCAAAATGTTTGTGTGAAGCCAAATTATATTTATTTTATTTTACAAAAAAAAAAATCAAGTTTGTACTGTACTAATTAAGTCGTGGCCACGAGTTACTAATTGACATGTGTGTGTTTTTATTTATCTCTTTAGTTATAGCCCTTTGTTGGAACAATGCTATGATAGAATTGGTCATTTTGTACGTACAAAGGCCTGTTAACATTGGTTATACCATAACTTGAGAGGGACTTAGTCCTGGTTTATTTTATTGGGAAAGGACATTGCCCATGGACAGTAGATATCCTTTAAGGATGTTTGAGGTCACAGTTCAGATAAACATGACACCTCATGCAAAATCCTTGTCTGATGAATGATTTATAAAGAATAAGCCGTAGTTTATATAACCTAAAAAGATCAGTAGATGACACCTAATAATTTTTAGGCAATTTGGTCAGAAATCACGGTCACAATGACGCTAAATCTTTGACCAATCAATAACTTGTATAAATGGCACTTTTACGGACAAATGAAGTAGGGGCATCCTTGTTAGGAAAAAATTCATATAAATAGTGTAATTTGATTGGTTATTTTATCTCGTTCGCACGACTTAACTTTTTCGTGGCCACGACTAAACTTTCTCGTGGCCACGACATAGTTACTTGTTCCAACGACTTATTTATCTCGTGGCCTAAACTTAGTAACTCGTGGCCACGACTTAGTTATTCTGTTCCCACGACTTAATTACCTCGTGGCCACGATTTAGTAACTCGTGGCCACAACATAGTATCTCGTTCCCACGACTTAATTATCTCGTGGCCACGACTTAGTAACCCGTGGCCACGACACAGTATCTCGTGCGCACGAGATAAATAAAAACACACACATGTCACCTTCGTGCCACCTTAAGTTTGATAAAATTCAATTTCACTTATCACAGACGCTCAAAAAGAAGTTTAACAATTGTATAAGAGGTGTGTTGCCACTTGTAGGATGAGTTATTAGAGACATATATAACTTTTTTTCCACATGCTGGCGAAATCTTCAAAAACACGCACTTTTCGTCTGTCGCATCGTGTTCTCTTGTTTTTTAGTAAATTTACATGTCAGTCCCCAACTAACACTGTTCTGTATACGCTCCTATATAAAGTGGACGTAACTTTGTTTACTCCACGTGCCAAAATACGGGATCATCCGGAAAATAACGGGATGTACCGACAAAGCGACACCTGCTGTCATAATATGAACACAAATTATTGCAACTCGCATTATGCTTACTGCCAACTGCTTAGTGCGTACTGTCACATGCGACTATAATATCGCTATCGTTGTCATCTTCGTTGTCGATGCGCAGTGATCATGTATTGCATTATATTTGTAATCAGTGAATATTGAAGCATATGAATGCTTAGACACATCAAATCAGCCAATTATTGATCAAAATGAATAGTTTAATTCGACATAATGTCGACAATATAAGTGGCAGATTTATAGCAATTTAAAGATACAACTACCATGTTACATATACATGTAGTTATAAAGAATGTTATCTTAAACACCAAACATAATACGTTGTCTTTAAAAAAAGATGCAATTAAACATATAGCATATTAAAATATGTGAGTTTGATGGTTTAGTAGGGAACACACAAGGTTGCAATTACATGAAAGTGCATTCAGTAATCATAAGGCATGATTAAATTCAGCAAAACGCAGGTTTTCATTGTCGTAAAGAAGTATAGGAGCAAGCACAATGTAAGTTCCGATATCATAAAGCAAGAAGGAATAAATGCATTAATTCTGTTCCATATATATCTGTTAAGGAGAGACTTATTGTATAATATATCATGATTAATTTTTCCACAGATATACAAACATATATTCAGCTCCATGATTATTCATAATTTTGTGTCATATCGTAAAATTGAACTGTCCGTAAATGCATAACATGTATTTATATGAATTTACTATTATGTTAATAACATGTTAAAAACTATTACACATGCTCACATTATGATCTTTTGTTTAGGTGACTTATAGGTCCCATGGGCCGGGTTTGTTCATCTTTGTGTACGTTTGTGTATGTATATACGTGTAACACATGCCACTTTAATAAAGAATTTTCTTACTTATTTACTTACTATTATACTGATCCCACAGGGAGCCGTTACCTGGGTTATTACATGTAATAAAAGTCCAAAACAGAGTAACATTTGGAAATCATTACAAAGATCCGTGATTGAGAAGTCAGTCCAATTAATGTCTTTACTATGCTGTTTAAGGGTAATTTTACAATCCTCGATTTTGAAATCATTTGCATTTATCCTTATTGCCCACTAATTGTCCATGCATCTTATGTTAAATAAGGGAAATATAATGATACTTACATCCTGATGACATTTGTGTTTGCATACAGACACTGTATGCCTCAGAAACGAATAATTTCTCACGTCTTAAAAAAAGAGGCAGGCATGAGTTATTAAACATTTAATCAATGATATTAAAGTATTTGTCATTAAAGTAGCAAAATTTAAAATTGGCTTCCATACAAATTACTGTATCGCTGTAACTGAACTAATTTACAAAAAGCAACAGGAGCAATTGCTGGTAATGAGTAACTTTCACATCAGAAATAAAAAAAATCTAAATCTGTCGGATAAAAAACACGGATCATATGACAGTTTTTACTCTCCTTCAAAAACTTTATCAATCCACGGATTTATATTAGTAATGTAAAAAATCCGTGATCATTCTTATTGGCGGAGATTTTGTGAAAGGGCGACAGCAACTTCTCGAGCCTTTTATAGTTGCCAATAATAAAAGCCGATCATTCCGATCGGTATGAGGGTGCTTGATTATTAATTAGTCGCACTGGAGAATTTCGCAATGCAAACATTTTCAAATGAAATAACCTTTTCCGTCAATAAATTAAATCGCGCTCTTCGGGGTATTTTTGCTTATCATTTTGTAGTACACAGTGGGTTATTATGGTATGTTATTCCGAAAATGTTATATATGTATACCGACAATAAATAAATTTTGATTTGATTTGATTTGATTTGAAAGCTGTTAATAGAATGATGAGTTGATGACCTAAATATTCCGAAAAATCTATTTTATAGAGGGGATGTACTCCTATCGGTAATTCCCGGTCTCTCCCGGGATTTACTAATGACCGGCGAATAGTATCACACGTTTATTGTCCGGTCTCTCCCGGTTTTGGAGTAGATGTTTGATATCGTTACAGAACAGAACAAATATTTTACAGATAAATAAGCTTTTTGTCAAAATGAATGTTTGTCACTTAGTTTGGTTACAATAATTAATAAACACAGATCAACTCTCGAATTGATTGATTATTATTATACATAAAAAAAAAACAACAACACAAATCGCATGTTATATTTTATCTATATGAGATAAAAAACAATAAATATGTACAATAATTGAGAAAAAATGTACATTTTTATGGCATTAATATGACACTATCAACTTTAAAACATTTTATTTAATTTGTTATTCGTGTTTAGTAAAGATTCCGAGGAATTATTCAAAGTTACAAATCAGATTTTATGAATTATTCAATTGATTGATAATTTAAAAAATGATAAAAAAAATACAAATGTACATGTATATGGTTTAAGAATAAACAATATTATATATTGAAAGATTAACCATGATTTACTGACTTTTTCCAGTTAAGTTTTGACTTAAATATAATCGTCGATCATTTATGACAATTGAATTATCAAAATAGTAGTAAACGTAAAAACTCAGTATTAAAATTGCGCATAAAACACACACAAAAAAAAAAGAAAACAATATTCATAAAATCTGTATTTTTTTTTTTATTAAAATAGAAATTACATTTATTGTATAATAAACAATTAATGCTCAACATGATCAACATGGTAATATAACAAGTGTCATATTGTTACTTAGTGTGAACATATTCTTTAAGAGGGGTCCTCGCTAAATAGCGATAACATAATAAGGGACAATTACACAAGTATGGTGTTGATCATACGTTACACATATGGATTATAAATGATTGTATACATGTAATATCCGTTGCTATTAATAACCACGATCATAAAGAAATAACAAGTAATATTCTAATTTCTAGCATGCCGATCAAATTTATAAGTAATGAACAATGTCTTTCGTCCGTTCATTCAAAAGTGATATACAATTCTGGTAAAACCCAATGAACCATTGAACAGTTTATAAGAATATCTTGTCATCATATATCTACTAGTTCATCTGCACCTGCTGTTTGGACGCCCTTTGATGCTTTGCATCAATGCTTTTCTTGTAATTTTTTGTGTAATGAAAGCGTATTTCGTGATTGTATATTGATTCAATCTCAGCAATCATTTATCTTTGTTTATTTTTCAACCCACATAGTTATTATAACAAGGGGCACTAAACACGCGTAATTGATTTGCAAGGTGCGCTGTACGAGTTATCTTTCCCGCCAAATTAAATTGCGTACATAGCAACCAATGAAAACGCTCGTTTCATCTCACCAATACATTTCCTGTGACGGATTTAGCAGCCATACCTAGCACCTGTGTATACAAACACAATCAGCATTCGTGTATGAAGGTGATATAAACAAGAGGTAAAGTGCTTTTATTAATTTATCTTTTTGATTGTTGTCTTTATCCATTTGTATCCACGATTTCTTGCCACCGAAAGTGTGTCAATGCACTGATTGTTAAGCCATTGTCATGTCATGGTTTTATTGAAAGTTGGTTGTTCAATCACAGGTTATGAAATCGTTTGTTACAACTGTAGACTACTGTAGATAGTAATGGCAGTTGCATAGTTTTTATATAGAGTGATTAATTTATTTATAAATATGCAGAAATCTGTCAGTCGAGTCAGTTTGTCTTTCATGCTTCATTGTAGTCAAAATATTTTAACCTACGGGATTTTTAGATAATTTTTGACATGGTCAAAATCCCAAAGCGTAGCTCTGATCGCGTTGATATTTCGACTAGCTTCATTGGTACAGTTACAGAAGTATGACTTTTTTGAAGGTGCAGTCACTCTGCCTGGAATGGCAAATTTGCTAGAACCAATTGTTTCATTAGCCTTTACCACCAGTATAGAGCCTAGCTGACTGACATGTATGTTGGTCGCAGTCTTTCTGACCAGGCTCTATAGTGTTGGCTCAGCTTAATTTTGAAATTGATATTCCAACTTCAAAGCAGGGCAAATGCATGTTCAATACACATGTATGCATAGCAGGTTAATTAATGGCCCCAAAAATTGTGTGTCTTGGATTTTTGTTACATACAAGGGCCTCCCTTAAAGACAGACACCTATGTAATATCAGTTTTTAAAATCAGTCTGTCTTGCAGTTGAAATATTGCGACTAATTAAAGGTTTATTTAAAGTACTATGTCAGTTGTTGCTTGAGTATTAATCAGAAGTCGGATATAAATTACCCCACATGGCTTTACTTTACAGGTTGGGGAAGCAGAAGTATAACTGATATGGAAGCAGCCCCACCCTTAAATTTTGGGAAAATCATGTGGTATTTTTTGCCAAAGGGGAAGAAAAAACTTGATGTAAATTCAGTTTTTTTTTTGAAAACTGAATGATTTTTAAAAAAAATTTCTTTTGGGAAGCCACCCTTAAATATGGCCTCTGCTGCAGACGGAAAAAGCCCCTGTACCTGACCCACAAATCAGCATGAAGAGTGAAGAGAAATTTATAATTTTGTTTTGACACATACAAATACAGCTTGACCGCACACTTTATATAGTAATACAAGTAACTTTCATAGAAGCATACTGTGTTTTGTCAAGTTGTATTTGGTATCCCGTTATTTTGGCACCAAAAATTATAGCAGCAATATTGTATTTTTTAAACTCATAGAATGCCACATGGACTCTTAGGGTACAATTTTCCTTTTTCCTGTCCCATGCTCTATGAAAACATTATCAATGTATTTTTTTCAGTCTTATATCATGTACATACATGTATATTGAAACTTTTTTCATTTAATCAGATTTGCAAGATGGAACCAAGTGAGAATGATTACACCTGATACATAGAAAAGCTTTAAACATCTGAATTTTTTGTGCCAAAGAAGGGAAAAGACTGACAAGAAGAGGTTAAGATGGAGCCAATGGGTGATTTTGATGAAAATGGCTGGGCGCATATACATCATGCTGCAAACAGAGGTTTCCCTAAATCCCTAGAGAGGTTTGTCCATGCTGACCGGGAACAGCTTGAGCTTAAAACAAATGATGATCTTGGTTCAACGCCATTTTTAATAGCAGTTACAAGCGGAAACCTTGAATCAATAACGTGCCTGATAAATCTTGGTGCCAAAATTGGAGTTATTAATAATCACAATCACGGGGCAGTTGAGATTTGTGCTTCAAAGCAGTATATTGAATTGCTTGAATATTTCATAGAAAAAAATCATGAGCAATTGCCAGTGTGGAAGAATTTGTTACGATTCTTGTCGTCTGAGGCAGAGGAAGAAGCCGAGTCTGCTGGGATATGTTTGCGAACTTTGACCCTTAAATCTCAAGAAGGGGATATAAATCCACACTGGGAGCAGTTATTCAAAAATGGAGCTGTGCCAACAATCGTGAAAGTTGCAAAGAGCACCTTGAAAGATGATTCAAAAGTTCCTGCTTTCCAAGTCCTTCTGAACATCATGGAGAAACAGGAAGTGAAAGAGCAGATCTTCAGTACGGGAGGTATTACAGCATTTGTTAGGCTACTTAAGTCTCAAAGTAGTCTAACTGTTCAATTATCGGCTCAGATATTAAAAGAGCTTGCCAAGGTGAAGGAATATGCTGATAATATGGTACACAATAACGCTATACCAAGTCTATTGAAAGTAATGCAATCTAATTTTGACAATGAAGTTATGGTTGAAGCTGTAGACGCATTAGGAAACATTGCTGAAGCATCATCACAGCATCAGTCAGCCATTGGTCAGCTGCCTGGTTCCCTGCAATCCCTCATTGGCTTATACAAAGATCAAAAAGATAAAAACTTGTTATACTCTTTGAACAAAACAGTGGGGAAAATAGCATATAGAAATCAAAACAATCAGAATTCAATTGTAGATCTTGGGGCTGCAGTTTATGTTGTAATATTGTGTAGAACTCGGAATCGTGATTTACAGTTAAGTTCTGTAGAAGCCATTCATAGGCTAGCAGAAGATAATCCCAAAACTCAGAGGGTAATTTTATCAGAAAGAGCTCAAGACCACCTCATGCAGCTGTTGAAAAGAACAAGAGCGGAGGCCCTGCAAGAGAAAACTGCCATGGCATTATGGGCATTAGCAGGGGACAATCTGGATGAGCAGAGAAAAATGGCAGAGAAAATGGAAGTTTCCTTACTCATTGAATTTGTTAATAGCCTATCAGAAAACTTGCATTACATTGGATCAGAAGGATTAGGGGTATTGGCACAGGGTCCACTTAATTATCAAACTGAAATAGCCAATTCTAATGGGATTCATCCGTTAGTCCGTTTGTTAAGATCTGACAAAGAATATATAGTGCTAAGTATAATTCGGACTTTACGTCATTTATGTGTTGGCGTAGGATATGTTCCGCATAAAAAGAATCAGTCAACGATATCACAGTCTCGTGGAATCAAATTTCTGATTGCACTAATGGTTCATTCGAAAGATGAGATGATTCAGGTGGAATCTGCTGTCACTCTGGGTTGCGTATCATTAGGTAGGTATTCTAAAGCCATTTTCTAGTTCTTACAGACTCACAGCGGCTCCATTTCCTTCTTGTACTTTTGATTTAGTCATTTTCTATATTTTCAAGTTTTTAAATGTACCGTACGTGGCTCCTTGATAATGATATCGAATTATTCACACCCCAAACATCCTTCTTATAATATTTTATTGTATATTTTGTACATGATAAATTTGTTATCTAAAGCATAAATATAATGTAAATACAAAAGGGTTAGAACAAAAGTTATACCAGCATTATCTAGGGTCCTTCCCTTTTAGAATTACAGAACTACAACAATCTTGAATTGGATGACAAATGAGTTATTTTCAGATGGATTGATTATAGTATATAGGAGAATGAAAGAAAATTAAAAAAGGCATATATCTCTTGTAACATTTTACTCTATATCTTAATGTTTACAAAAATGCTCTAGAATTTCCACATGTTTACATTGAACTTCAGTTTGTATGATTAATGCTCTCTGATCACACAGGGTGACACTAAAATAATCTCAAAACTCCAATTTATTACAATTTAAGTATTATCATAAGCTACATAAAGGCAAAAATATTAGTAATATTGAAATAAATTAAAAAGAATACTCACATTACCAAATTTATTACATGAGGTCAGGTGAAAGGTGATGGCAGGTAGCTTTTGAAGAGTTATTTTTTTTCTTTTTTTAAGGGGGTGATGGAGCAATGTTCATGTTTTAAGGGAATAATAGGTTTGTTATCATATTTTAAGGGAGCAATAGGTTTGTTATCATATTTTAAGGGAGCAATAGGTTTAGTGTCATATTATAAGGTAGCAATAGGTTTAGTGTCATATTATAAGGTAGCAATAGGTTTAGTGTCATATTATAAGGGAGCAATAGGTTTAGTGTCATATTATAAGGGAGCAATAGGTTTAGTATCATATTATAAGGGAGCAATAGGTTAAGTGTCATATTATAAGGGAGCAATAGGTTTAGTGTCATATTATAAGGGAGCAAAAGGTTTAGTGTCATATTATAAGGGAGCAATAGGTTTAGTGTCATATTATAAGGGAGCAGTAGGTTTAGTGTCATATTATAAGGGAGCAAAAGGGTTGTTTTCATGTTTTAAGGGAGCAATAGGTTTATTGGCTCAAAAAATTGACATAACAAATGCTTTTTTTATTTATCTTTTTGTCAAAAAATTCATAACAGTTTATTTGATGATTTATATTGAAATTCCTAGACAATTTATTAAAACGGTGGAATGCTCTTATAAAATCTGAAGAAAAAATAAATATTGATTTTATAGATTTAACCATATTTTACTTGTTAACAATCAAGTGTGAAATTAGTTTGAATATCATAATGCATTCAGAAAGGACAAAATGTTGCCATGTCTCAAATCTGCATTGGTATTTGAGGAGTTTAATTTATAATGTCAGTAGATAATGTATAGTAGAACTTGACAACTTTGATCGCAGTTACAATGAACATTTAATATCAATATATTCAGTTTATAATCTGCCTATAAAAATGTTTTTAATCAGTGCCTTTGAGTCACGAATTTTGGTACCATTCTCAACTTAAAAATGTATAAAATATTTTCCCAAATTTTTTTAAAATAAAATATAAAATTAATATTATAATTATGTAAAAAATATATAAAGTGCCTGAAATTTCTGCCACATTTACAGAAAACAATGTGCTACCTGCTACAGGTACATTGATACTTATCCCCCTAAATCAGAGAGAGAACCCTGTAAGACATGCAAGTGTAAGAAAGAAGTCTTAATGTCACAAAATGGCATCTGATTAAAAAAATATATATAAAAAATTGGGTTTTGACTTTCTCAAATTAAGGAACTTTGCTCTAGCTGTGAATACCTTTCAAGTGGGAATTTTATGAAATACCTGATCTTAACACTAACAACAAGTTTTCTTTAATTATTATAATGTAGTTTTTATTCCAAGGTCACGTCTGTAACACAAGTTTGACCATAACCATTAAGTCACAGACTCGTATAGATGTTACTTTTACTTAAGAAAGACCTGAAATTTTGGAAGAAAATGCTCAAAAGTTTATACTCCACAGACTGTAGTCAATATTGACATTTTAACGTAAAGTCAATCAATTTATTAAATCTCCCGATTCGATCAAATATCATTCTGATATCTGAATTGAAATTTTAATCTGCAGTAATTCTTTTCTTTAAAAGGCACATTGAAAAGGAGATTAATAATATAATGTTGAGTAAGTGATTTTAAATGAAAGTGCTTTCTTTTCCCTTTCATAGAATTAATTACAGGCTTTATTTTGGCTATATTTTTTGACAGACTCTCAAATTACCAGTATATGCAATTTAAGTGTTTATAACGACCTTAATATATACATAAAAGGATTTAATAAAAGAAAGAAGAAAAGTCAAATTTGACAGTTTAAGATCCACAAGGGAGTGCAACATTCAGGAAACACATCCCCAACAATATCTAATAGCAATGACACCCAAATGGGCACCAAAAGGGGCAACTTGGGCAGACAAAAGGGTCAAAGAAGGGGCAAATAATTTAATTTAATATAAACTAAAAGAAGAGATTCAGTTTAAAGGAATTAAATTTTGTAGGGAAACAGGGAAGTAGGGAAATATTAGGAAGGGGTTGAAGGGCAAAAATGAAAGAGGAGGAAATGCTAATAACTGTGACAAGATGAGAATAAGTTAAGGAATGCGGACAAGACCATTAATCATTTTTAATGAAATTTTCAAAATATGATCAAACTGAATATGAAATCTGTGCTGTTTGATTATAGCCCAGGATTGGCATTCAAATTTTTCTGAGATGGCCTGTTTTGATATGAGGCAGTTGTTTTATCACATACAGCACACTGAGTGTTTGAGGCGTCCCAAAATGCGTTGTAGAAAGTCTGATATTGGCCTCGTAGTTAATACAACCAAGTCGTTAAGACATTATGGATTGACGGCCTCTACTGGTTTAATGGGTAGGAATCTGTGAGTTGTTGCAGGCAGGCTATTAGTAATAAAAGCAAAGAAAAAATATTTGAACAGTCTTCTAACTTATCATACACATATTTTAAAAATATACGTTGGCTGGAATAAATCTATTGTGTTTAATGCAAAGTATCAAAATAACATCAAAATGGCCAAAATAACTGACTTTTCCATATTAAATTTCATCTGTAAATAGTTCTATTTATTTAAGGCATTATGTCAATTTATTTACGGTATTTGTTAAAGTTATACTATATGTTAATAAGGTGATATTATATTAAGTAGTTTAAATAGGACGTTGACTATTTATCAATTGATTAAGACCAACTATTATTATACAGTTTTTGGCAAGCTGTTGTACTCTGTCAACATTATCTGTCACTATAATATTGTGTTTTTTTCATAATCCTAAGGTTTATCAGATTTATATATCTATATATTATTACATGTATACATATTTCAAACATTGTGACTGGTTTACATAAATCAAGCTTTGTCATCGTACTTTAAGCAGAATTTTTACAAACCTGATTCCATTCTAGCCACTTATTTTGTTAAATAGGTTAATAACTAAGTTTAACACATTCCCATGCTGATTTTGCGACTCTGTCAAAATGGTATTGCATGGCCGTGCATATATATGTCTACTTGGATGTGACATCATTTACATTATACATAGTGAAAAGATGCGCAAAATGTTAGCGTAACAATATAGGCACATCAATGAAAAATTATTCTTCTGCACCTTAAACAGTCTTTATTTTGCATATGTTATAAATGGAATATTATATTCATGTAGGTTTCACACTAATTATTAGAATGTTTTCTTTAAATTATTTTTGTTATTGTTGATATAAGTACTATAGTTTTAAATCCTGTGGAAAACTCAAAGCGATTTTAAGTAATTTATTGTTAAAGCAGCCTGAGTTGTTAAATATGTTAAATTTAGATAAATTGTCAAATCAAAAGAATTAAGGTGGAAAATAAAATTTGCCAACAATAAAATACATAAACAATAAGAAACCTCTTGTCTCTCTAGTCTACTGGCCTGCTTAGCGTTTCTGGATTTTCTATTTTTAGATACTGGCATATAAATATTATAAAATAGCCCTCAGAACGCTGTTTTGAAGAGTAGGCTTAACAGTGATATGCTGCACTTTTCCAAGATAAAATTACTGAATACTTATTTTGAAGCAACATGGAATTGTTTTTCCAACAGAAAATAAAAGTTGAAGGCCACTTTAAAACATGTCAGCCTTCTTCGTTTTTTTTAGGTCTGTCAGATGTTGTATTAAATGTTGGAAATAGAATGCTATTATTAATATGAGTTTTAATGTCATGTTAATTTTTATTTTATGGAGTCTGTAAAAAATGTTCAGAACTTGAGGAGACATATTTTTCTATGTTCTGGCAGTAAATATTTTAGAATTATTTATCTCTTAACCCATTACTGCATGAGCATTTTGTGAAAAATGGCTGTTTTCATTGAAAAGCCTTCTGTTACAAGTTCAAATTGCTATAAAACTGTAAAAGATGCTTCAATGTATTTTGCATTGACTTTTTCCATCAAAACTGATTTCAAAGTGATTAACTTCTCAATGGATTGAGATTATGTAAGGGTCAAAGGCTTTTCAGGGGGGGGGGGGGGCGGGGGCTGAAAAGGCGTGAAAAGATGTCTATATGAAGTAATGGGTTGAAAATTTGAAAGATAGACAAGTCTGTTTAAGATATTTAGAGACAGTTTTCTTGATAATTAGCTAGCTTCCTTTTGGTAAAACCAACAGAAAGTTAAAAATTGCCAAATTAAATGAAAGTTATTAAAAACACAGACGTTTTGATAAGGAGAATAGAATCCTTAGATATGGTTAAAAAAAACTTTGTAAAATTTACTTATTCAAAATCTTGTACAGATCAGGTGCGAAACCCACACACAGACATAAAAAACAAATGACTTAATCAATATTTCGTCAATTTATTTCTTTTTCCGGAACATTGACTGATAGAAAGTTATCAAAGTTGTTCAACATGTCAAGCCTGTAGTTGATTACTCTAGTAAATTTATCATGTAATTGATTTCTTATAAGGTTAGTACAGAATAATTGCTTGATTAATAGCCACTGCATGCGAGATAAAAATAATGACAAAAATGTCGATCATAGATTTAGCTGTCAATTGAAACGAATTTGCTTCTGAATAATCAATTTGATAAGAGTAAAAACACTTAGGTATAAATAATCAAGTGTAGAAGTTTGTGGCACTTGAACTTAGATGAACTTAGAATAAGATAAATGAACTTAACTTGTGTTTAGAGAATCTCTCCAGGAATTGAAGTACTTTGATAAGTATACAGTTTACTGTTGAAAACCTGCAAAACATTCAAATATTTTCTTTACTGTACAGTCAAGTGACAGACTTATCTTTTTGAAGTTATAAAATGGTCTTTATACATTTTTTTGTATTCCTTTGAATTTTGAATAAATGTCCTTTTTCAAAGACCCATTTTAAGCCTCAAAAATGCTTTTATTTTTATATGTCAAAAGATTTTTTTATTTTTTGTGGCCTGATATATTTTCCATAAAGAAACACATTGGCCATATAGGCTGGCGATCTTTTGAGTTTTATGAAATAAGTACAAATACAGTGACTTAGTATTGTATACCATTTATTTAATACATGTTGCTTACCTTTGCCATATATATTTCACTATCAGCACTATTTTCTTCTTGTGATAAGCACCTTACAATTGCAATAAACCATAATATTAATGACAACATTTATTAATAAAACATGCTTGCCCTAAATTCTACAGAAAGAGAAATTTATTTATTTTTCATTTCTGAGGCAATTTATCTCGGTGCTTTTAAATGAGAGAGTTTTTAATGGTGCATTTTTAGAACACTACTTAATACCAAGAATTGGGAATTTTAGACAAAATTTGGGAAACTAATGCACCTAATATTAACTAATGCACCTGATATTACATACATCAAATAAAACAATGAAATGAAACTTTCACTTATAAGCATTTTTAAAATTTGGTATGTAAAAATACAGTTTTCTGTTGCACAGTGTTAATTAGTTTAAGATGTCACAAAATGATGATAATATAAATTTTAATTTTTTGGTTTTTGTTGTTTTTATGCCTTAAAATTGAGAATTTTCTTCTAGATATTGGGATTTTTTTTTTTATTTTTTGGATAAAATAGGAACATGGCTGTCGTCAGAATTTCCCAATACAACCCCGCCCCTTACCTGGGGATCCCATCTGCACAGTGACACATCCTTCCCTTTCTCCATGAAATGTTTTGATTTATTTAATCATTATAAAACGCTGTATTTTCAGTCTATAAGGTTATACACAGAACACATGTGCAGGTTACGCTCTGGTCTAGACTTGTATTATACAAGTAATTAATTCACCAATCAGTTTTCAATTTAGTGTTGATAATTAATTTATTCAAAGACACCTGAGCTATCAAAAGACGGCTTCTTTTTTCACATTAAATTTTGTTACTTAAACAGTATAGAAAAATTAAATACATAATCAATTATAAAATACTAAATTAATGTAATCTGGCCCTGGGCACATAATAGCAGTTCTGATGGCATAAACAAACCAGTGTCTCAATTTAACTCTAAAGGTTAACCAGTTTTACCTAAACAAAATGATATAAAATATTCTTTTACCAACTCACTGGCAGACAGAAAAACAAAATGACCTGTCAACGATCTTCTTCATATGCACTCAACGTGTTCTATTACCAATCTCAAAATTACCTTTCAACTGAAACAGTAGAAAAACGATAGTGAAGAAAATATCGGATTTCAAACAAATTATGCTACTTATGAAAAGTAATTGACAAATTCTTTTGACAACTATGGTAAGACATTGCTATAATGTCATAATGGGTCAGCGATTGATTTGTCTGTGATTTCACGGTTTTACTTACGCTGAATACGAAATGATTTGAATCACGCTTGCACTTATGGTAATGGACTGTTCTCGTAACTGACAAGTACCTGAGTGACTTAATTGCACATTAAAGGAGCATGCACAGAGTTATTACTTTTTTTTTAACAAAAAGGCTTTAGAAACTTAAGCCTTAAAACTGAAAAAAAAAAATGTTTTGGACAAAGTTTGCACAAATATCTTTTGTTTTTGGGCTAACTATCATCATAATTCATATTATTACCATATTTTTCAAACTAACGTTTTGTGGTCTGAGAAATGTAAGAACACCCTTGCCTTGCCATCATATATTGCAAGCCCATGATAACTGTGCATGTATGTCAAATATTTTTCGGAACATTGTATCAACTAATATAAAGTTTTTATTCATCATTTTATGTCTTAGGTTTTAATTATCAAAACTTCAAAGTCAACAGTCAATGCTATACTTTTCTGCTGATATGAGGGACTGGGATTGTGGGGGATGGAGCGGGGCCAGGGGGTTAAAAACTGACTGGTGTTAAATGCTTGTATAAGGTACAGAATGGAGTGTCATTGCTAAATTTAATTTTAATGTTGCCTTAAAGTTACATGTGTAAAATATATTATAACTGAAAGATAATATAAAACTCAAAGAATGTCTCTTTAACTTATAGTAATATGATATTTTGTTCTATTTTGTCTACCTTTCTTTTGTGTAAAACAGTTCATTAAGGACTAAATGCTATTAAAAGCAGACATTACAAAATTGATCTAAAATCAGTATTTTAAAGGATATTGGATATCAAAGTCAATTATTGTGCAAAATTGTATTCAATTTGATACATAATATATTAATATATAAATTCTTTGGAAATTTTAAAAGTAACAGCCTTTTTATGATTTAAAGAGAATTAACAGTCAGGCATATTTTGATAATATTCATGTTAATATATTTCATATTCACATTTATTTACTATAAAACCCATGTTATCAGTATAATTGATAGAAAAATATAAGATGTATATAGACAATTATTTTTACACTAGATGAAAGCGTGCCAAAAAAAATTACACATCTAAATTTTAAGATTAAGTAGATATACAGACAGACAGTGTTAAGCTATTAGCAGAGACTTAAAAATTAAGACTGCAAATGAAAAGAAACAACAACACAAAATAAAACTTTAGGATGTGATCATGGTGTAGTATTCTGATAATCATGGCCTTGTGTTTTGACACTCATTGCCTTGTTCTTTCATGGCCTGTTCTTTAAATGGTTATGACCTTAAAAAGGCTTTTGTTTTGACAATTACGACCTAGTTCCTTTATGATCATGGCCTTGTTCTTTGATGGTCATGACCTTTTTCTTCGGTGATCATGGCCTTGTTCTTTGATGATCATGGCCTTGTTCTTTGGTGATCATGTCCCTTTTCTTTGGTGATCATGGCCTTTTTCTTTGGTGATCATGACCTTTTTCTTTGGTGATCATCATGGCCTTGTTCTTTGATGGTCATGACCTTTTTCTTTGGTGATCATGGCCTTGTTCTTTGATGATCATGGCCTTGTTCTTTGGTGATCATGACCCTTTTCTTTGGTGATCATGGCCTTTTTCTTTGGTGATCATGACCTTTTTCTTTGGTGATCATCATGCCTTGTTCTTTGATGATCATCATGCCTTGTTCTTTGATGATTTATGTCTTATTCATTGACACTCATTATTAAATGCCTTGTTCTTTTATGATCTTGGTCTGTTCTTTGATCATGGCCTTTTTTTTCAAAGATCATTAATAAGATATTTGACAATCATTGCCATGTTTTTTTATATGATCATGGCCGTCACTTTCTTTGATGATCATGATGTCATTTTTCAATACTTTCTCAAGGAAAAGATTTAAGACTGAGAGAGCTAATTCAGTTATTTTTATGTTTGTTTTCCTATCATTTAACAACTTTCTTGTCACTGATTGGATTAAATCGCCTTAAGTCTTATATAAACAACACGATCCCCTACAAAGTTACAAAATCCAGTCCCTAGTTTGCAGAAAGATAGTAAAAGACAAGCTACGTTAACATTTAGTATGTTTTACAATCATGCCTGATTATTTGGATTACTTTAGTATTCATTAAAGCAAACATTGATTTAGACAAATTTGTTTTTTTATCAAAACATTTGGTTAATTTACACAACCTATAAAACTGAAGGGTTTAAGTATAATGCTTTAAATGTAGTTTATTTGACAAATTTGAAATTATTTTAGTTTTTTTTTCTTTTTAGAGATAAAAACGTGAAAGTGGAATATACGTAAATCATTTGCAAAATTTATTGGAGTCATCAATTTTGTAGTTCCTGTTCGATAATATATAATTTTTTATGAGAGGATTTCCTGTTAAATAGAAAAAATGGAAACTTAAAAGAGAATGTCAAATAAAATATGCCAAAATTGAAAATGTTGATCCCTTGACTTGATTAATTGAGCCTGTATATTGGTGGCACTGTTCTAAATGCAATCTACCTGCCATACCCCCTAGCACCAGCTTAAGCAGAAATCTGATCATTTAAATATGAACATGTATAATCAACCTCTACTGTAATGTAACAAACTGAATATTTATCATGATGGGTCAGCTAAATCATGGGTTACCCACCCCCACCCTCCACCTCCCAAGAAAACTGATGCCGTCCGAAGTTTGTTCAATTCTTTTGCCATTCTGTGAATTTAAGACGTATTCATTTGTAAAAAAATGTGTTTAAAGTAGACAAATGTAGCTGCTGGCAGCAACTTCATGGTTCTACCCATGTGACCAGTGCAGTCTGCACTTTTTGCTATTCAGTCACTACATATTTTGAAATTTTCCCTAAAATAATGAATGGTTTTATCCAGATTGAAAAATGGGCAAGTCCATTTTAGATATTTTAGCATTGCAAGGGTTAAAACATGGTTGTTCAGTATTGCATGGGTATCTGAGTATCATAACTCACATAACACCCCCTGAGTTACGACAAATCTGACCTTTAACCTTCATAATTATACAAATATGATTTGCTTTCATTATTTCAGGAAACCAAGAGATATTAGAAGAGATCAATGGAACGATAGATTTCAGTTACGTACGGATACTCAAAATGATGTATGCTCAGCACGACGTTGTACGACTCCTAGCGGGCTCAGCACTTGCAGCATTCGCGTATAACAACATTAGCCAACAGAAAGAGATTGCAGAACAAGGTGGTGTGAGATTTAACTGTTTCATACCATTTCTTCAATCTTCAGATGAATTTTACAGATGTAATGCAGCATTTCAGGTAATTTATTAGACATAATTTTTAGTTTACTAAATTTTTTCAGAAAATGATAATAATAGTTCTGTTGCAAAGACAACTGTTCAGTTCAGTTAATTTAATCATAGTTGTCACATTTTGATTGAATTGGCAAATAGAAAACCCTGTAGCCAACTTGACATCTACATGTATACATATGCATGCATTTTTATACACTGTTACCTCATTTAGACCTTGTCCAGCTTCTTATTTAGGAACTGTCTAATATCAATATTAGGGATTTCAAGATAAACATTTTAAGATAAGTCAACCAACAGTATAGAGCCTGATCAGATTGCATTGAGGTGCAGGCTGGCCCAGTTTTATATTGCCAGCGAAGGCTTAGTTTTAAACACTTTGGTTTCAGCAAATCAAGGATTAAATATTTATAATAAATTGGTCTTGTATTGATACCTTAAGGTGTTTCAATATGTAAATATTAAAATTGAGCAGGGAAATAAAGAGCAAGTAGTTAAAAACTTGTCCAGACTGCAGAGCACACATTTCAATATCTAAAAAGGTATTTTTCTTATTATAGCATAAAATCGGCTATTTTTCCCTATTTTGCCCATGTTATAACGGGACCAAAACCATGTGTTAACATAGTCACGCGCTCTTGTTATAGCCCGGCCCTGTGTTCACAAAGATTTAAGGATCAGGATCAAGATCAGGATCAAATTTAAAAACTTAAATATTCTCCATTATTTATCCTCATAGATTAAATATTCAATATTAAATTGATAAAACTGGACTTAAAATATCATGTTTATGAAATTTTAGAATAAATTTATTGTTGTTTTTACAAAAACATGGGCATTTTACAGTTGATCCAAATTTTGATCTTGATCCTAAAATTGATCCTCATTTTGATCCAATTACTTTTGTATTTGTTTTGTTATTAGTTGATTTTATCCCAAAATAGTTTGGTTTCCTTGCAAATAGGCCATTATTTACAATTCGAATATGTTCCATTTAATTCTAGCATATTACAATCAATTTAAGTTTTATAAAACAATGAAAATAAAATCAGGATCTCCTGATCCTGATCTTTTCTTTGTGAACACGGGGCCCGGTTTCACCTATGCGCAAAACATACAGGGCCCAGTAAACAAACAAAAAAAATGACGATTTGGCCTGTTTGCCAAAGAGTCATGCGCTCTTGTTATATTGAAATTATGGATTCGAGGGCCTCAATCGCATTAAATACGGCGAGCAGCATTCAAGTAACTATGCCGGAAATACGGCGTATATACATCGCTGCTAATCTTGGTTGTCGCCCTTTCTAAGAAACGGACAGTTGTCAATGTAAACAAATTACTGGCATTCAGTTTAACCCTCCGATTAACTTACAAAACAGGATAACACAAAATGAATATGAGAACATGTTGTTTTATTGATGCTTATGTTGATAAATGCTCTTTATATTTCTTTGAGAGAATAATGTTTAGTGCCTGATTTTTTTTATAAACTTGTGTGCTTGAAAAAACCCGATTCTGATGACGTCACTGATCTTTTTTCTACCGTCAATCTGAAATCATTCTAAGAATTTCTGAGGGTCATGTTTTGTATTGGGAAGAGTAATGTAACGTTGTTGTTTTTTTTCCTTGAGATAATATTTCTCCAATGTCAAGCTTTATAATATCAATTAAAATTCAAAATTTCGTTCGGTTCGTTGTTGGCCCCGGAAAAATAAAACGTATACGTAAAACATGTAGAATTGGATAAATACCGTCCAAGCACAAGGATTTAATGTATTGTGTTTTGTATTAAATATACATCATGAATCTGTTTTAAAATTTTATGCTATAATAGCGTCAACGCACGTTTATTTCGTGTTATAAAGTCTGCAGAGTCCCTCAGAACTGTTGGAGCCCTCGCCCTACCGGGCTCGGGCACCAACCGTTCCTCGGGACTCTGCAGACGTTATAACACGGAAAAACGTGCGTTAACCCTATATAAATGAATCTCTTATTTAACGTTTTAAACAACTATACTGTGTTATTTTATCACCACACAATACAGATGTAACACTCTGCAGCATATTTACATAAACATTTCAGGTTGTAGTGTTATCAAAGATTATACCAGATGAGGAGCAGGCATTGTCATCGGCAACGGGTATCAAACTTCTTGTTGACCTCCTTCAGGACTCACAGTCAGACCAAATACTTGCCCTGGCATCAGACTGCATAGCAAGACTTGCTCATACCCGTGCTGGTTAGTACCTAGTACCTTTGCTGTAGTCTTTTTCTTGTTACTAAAATTTTTTTATCAGGATAATTTGATTGGTTAGCTTTGAATTTAGACTTGTCCATTATTGATTGGTCCATAATATAAAAGCTGCATGTCTATATTTAAAAAATCAAACTTGAGAAAAAAGTACCAGTACTGAGAATTTAAGAAAAGTAAAAAGATTTAAGATAAAAGTAATAGTTTGCATGATATGTGCAGTTTTTGACTGATTTTGCAGTATTTTTTCACCATATTTCTAATGCTTAACTAATGCAGTGAGGGCTATTTTTGCATAGTTTGACCTCTTTTTGGTAATTTACATTGGTTGTAAGTGCTTTACATTGGTTTTAAGTGCTGTCTGCAATGTGAGAAATATTTTCTTTGATCATTTCATAATATTTTAATGAAAATTTTTTTTGTAAAAATATATATTCAAAATATATTTAGCCCATAGACTGCAGATATAACCTGAATGCAACCAGTGCCGACCAAGAAAAGCTGTGTCATTTGATCATGGTCTGTACTGTATGCAATTTCAAGTCTGTAGATATTTTGAATTTCTCCCATAGTCATGCCCAGATAGAAAGATGGACAAGTTCATTTTAGATATTTAGTGTGGTAAGGGTTAAAAGGAATTTTGAACCAGAACATGGTACCTATAAGTTGACATTTTAAAATTTCTTCAGGTGTACCTGCAGCAATTATAGCCATTAATGCAATTGAGTTCCTCACAAAACTTCTGTTGCACCAGGCAGAGCAAGTGAGGGGTTGTGCAGCTATCGCCCTTGGTTACCTCTCATATACACATACTGCAGAGAGACAACTTCTTAACAAGTGAGTTGATATTTTTGTTTTCAGTTTTGTACAAGTTGAATTTATAGTTTTAAAATTTTGATTACTAAAAATTGGAGCTAAATTACTGATGATGAATGACCATATAGTGTCATTGTTTCTGTGTCTGCTATTTTCTTGCATATGATATCATGTAGGATTATCTAAGTACTGTGAGAATCAAACACTGACTGTTGTCACAGATGGTATAACTAGCTCTCGGGTTTCTGTTTTGAGGTAACTTTGCAGAGCCTTGTTACCAGTGTAAAAAGTTACACTTGTGTTATATATTTCAATCTATACAGCCCCCTTGTGGCTTAGGGGTTGCCTTTAAGGGTTTAGGCATCAGAATTGCAGCTGCCTTTTTTCCCTGCAAGGTTGTAACAGGCAACTTAATAGGTTCTAATAACTCCAGCACTGGTGAGGTGGTTTTGACCCCTCATGTTCCTTTAAGTTTATAACACCAAAGGTTAGCTAAAATCCTCTTCCCTGTTTCGACGACATATGACCTTAATTGTGTTGGATGTGCTGTAAGACTTTCCCGACAGCAAGTGTAATATTCTTATTTTATGCTGGTTTCAACATAATTTGGTCATATCTCAAATCTAAAATTTGGCAGCTAACAGTGAAGGATCTGGTCAGACTTTAGGGCCGCCCTGCCAGTCCTTGCAGTCTGTATAGATCTGTTATTTTGGCATTTAACACTTGAGGGGTCACACAGTGGTTTAGTATTTTAGTAATTATGATGTAAAAACATGCAAAAAGTAATCTTCTGTCATAGTTATTACATTTTGTGTTTGTATTTTTACCCTACTGAACTTTGCTAATATCTGTAGCATATTGGGGTAAGTTTCAATGTGTTGTTTTGATAATTTTTTTCCTTCATATTTTCATTTTTTCTCTCCACTGCATGTTTTTTTTAAAAATTTTGCTCAGATTTTGTGCCTTTGAAATGAAAAATTGTTTTGACATGCCTGTTTCTCACAAGTTCCAGCATTCCTTGATCACGAAGTCCCTTTATTAATATTGTTAATTTCTTTTTTTGCAACTTAGCAAATTTTCAGGCAATAAAAAAGAGCATCCTGTTGATAGTGATTTTAATTAAAAAATGAATTAAACCAAAGTGACTATCATAGAAAATATTCAAAGCACATGACTTTAAAATTTATAATTGAAGTTTATCTCAGTTAAACATCAAGAGTTGATGTTTTGAATAGATTTAAAATTTAGAAGTTCTGTGATTTTTTTAAAAACTTTTTTGGGTAGTGAATACTTTTAATGAGAATGGTAATGTGATGAAATAATATCAGATAATTATGTAGACTGTAACAAAAGTTAAAGCATTTAGCTGTATAATTATATGATAAACTAAAAAAGAAATAAAATATGGAAGCCATTATTTACTTGTGAAAACACCTTTTTAATTTTTGACATATTATAGAAATTGTTGCATATCATACTGTTATAATTAAGAAATAGCCTTTGATATCATGTTACATACTTGGTGTACACAAGATGAATGGGTTTATTTGAAATTTTTATGCCCCCACAGAGTGGGAGCATATAGCGTTGCACTTGTCCGTCCGTCCGTCACACCGTATGTCTGTCCGTCCGTCCGTATGTCCCGAAATCTTGTGAACGCAACTCCTCTTAAACCGGATGGCAGATTTTGCTTAAACTTTCAGGGATGAACAACCTTAATATGTAGATGGTAGTAAAGGAAGGAATTTTTGCTTCGACCATATTTAACAGAATTATGGCCCTTTGTTGATTTTTTCACTATATACTATGTAGAAATTTTGTGAACGCAAATCCTCTTAAACTGGATGGCAGATTTTGCTTAAACTTTCAGGGATGAACAACCTTAATATGTAGATGGCAGTAAAGGAAGGAATTTTCGCTGCGACCATATTTAACAGAATTATGGCCCTTTGTTGATTTTTTCACTATATACTATGTAGAAATTTTGTGAACGCAACTCCTCTTAAACCAGATGGCAGATTTTGCTTAAACTTTTAGGGATGAACAACCTTAATGTGTTGATGGTAGTAAAGGAAGGAATTTTTGCTGCGACCAAATTTAACAGAATTATGGCCCTTTGTTGATTTTTTCACTATATACCATATAGAAATTTTGTGAACGCAAATCCTCTTAAACCGGATGGCAGATTTTGCTTAAACTTTCAGGGATGAACAACCTTAATGTGTAAATGGTAGTAAAGGAGGGAATTTTTGCTGCGACCAAATTTAACAGAATTATGGCCCTTTGTTGATGTTTTCACTATATACCATATAGAAATTTTGTGAACGCATCTTCTCTTAAACCGGATGGTAGATTTTGCTTAAATTTCCAGGGATGAACAACCTTAATGTGTAGATGGTAGTTAACCCATTACGTTATATACACGCCTTTTAACGCCTTTTTCCCCCCCCCCCCCTTTTTTGTTGTCTCAAATGGTGAAAAAATGCCTTATTTAGGCCCCCAACACTTGTTTTTGTTTGAGAAATGTTGTTAAAAAAAGTGACCTGTTTTTCGGCGCGGCCCCCCAAGCAAAAGATACATCAGGATGTGCCCCCTTCTGTTTGGGGGGTTTGAAGGGAGGCGGAGTCCCCCTCATCGCCAAGATAATTTTGGACTTGTGACAGGCTGTAAATGACCCCAGATTGATCATAAGGTAACGTGTAACCAATGCTGAAAAGCATTTGACTCTATCTCAATCCATTGAGACGTTGCAGCACTTTGAAATCAATTTTGATGGAAAAAATCAACGCAAAATAGTGATTTTTGGCAATTTTGAGATGTCCCCTCGTTGCCATGGTAACAGAAAAGTTAAGCCTGAGCATGTTGTTGCAAGGGCAATTGTCCAGTCAACATTTGTACCAAGTTTGATTAGTGTTGAAGCAGGTTTTATAGTATTATAGCAATTTGAACTTGTAACGGGAGACTTTTCAATGAAAACAGCCATTTTTCACAAAATGCTCATGAAGTAATGGGTTAAGGAAGGAATTTTTGCTGCGACCAAATTTAACAGCATTATGGCCCTTTGTTGATTTTTTCACTCTATACAATATATATGTTGTCAGTGGGGGCATCCGTGTCCTTTGGACACAGTTCTAGTTTAACATAAATTGTAAAATGAAATTTTTAATTTTCAGGTGTAGAAATGATCAGATGCTAATGAAGATATTGTTACATTACACGAAGAAGAGTAAAGTGTCACCAGCGTTTCTAGAGGGGTGGAGGCATTATAAGAAAATAGGACTACCCCCTATCTCGTGAGTTTTTTATTTTATTTTATTTTGTGACAATTTATAAATCTAATATATTTAGAGAATGAATATATTGGTGATTAGCATGTAAACGTAATAGATAAAATAATCAATAAAAATCATAGGGAGATAATGAGTAGAATTAGTAGGAAATAATCATAATATTTAAAGGGAGATAATTTGTAAATGTGTAAAGAGGAAATAATCAGTTAAAGGAGTAAATAATGTAATCAGTAAATTGAAAGGGAGATAATTTATGAATGTAAAGAGGAAATTATAAATAATCGTTTAAGCATGAGGTAAAAGTGCTCATAAATGCATTGAGTAATTCATGTTATCACTTAAAGTTAAAGGGAGATAATTAGTAAATATATTGCAGAGAAAAATAACCAAATCTGTAAAGAGGAGATAATTTGTGAAAAGCTTAGGGGAGATAATCAGGTAAGGTCAAACGGAGATATTTAGAAATATAAACGGTTGTCAGAAGTAATTCACTTCCAGTAGACAAGATTTTAACAGTTTTCATATAAATATATAACATGTAAATATTTATTTACAATAGGTATAAATTGTTTCAAAAACATTCACCTATATTTATAACAGGGAAGGAAGAACGAACCTTGTTGCTGACAGAATGTCTGAGCCTCCGCCTACACCAGATAGCAGCATCGGTCTGATGGACTCATCCAAGAGTGCCAGCAATATAAGAGCATCCTCATCAAACTTAGAGGAACCTCCACTTACAGACAGAACCTCAAGGTAAACCATGATTTGCTGTCAATGTTTTCTGTTCTATGTTCAATGTAAGAAGGTTACAGCTAGCTAGGGAGGGCATTATAATAAAAGATTGTAGTTAAGTCTTTAAAGCTGAATAACTAGAGATGAGAACACAAATGTTAAACAACAAAAAAAAGCAAAAGAAGAAAGCCTACAAAACTTTTGTGTGTTTTGTTTATTTACCCTCGCCACCAGAATGAACGATATGGGTAGGCATACAAAACTCATGAAGGGTATGAATTGTTTATGTATAATCCATGTGACACTGCTTTTACACTGTCTATTACTTAATGAGTGCGGCAGCTTTTTGCGTATTTTGACTCATTTTCTTTATGATAATGAACATGAGGCTACCATTATTTACAGTCTTTTTTTTGGTTGGGTTTTAAATCACACCAACACAATATAGGTCATATGTCATCTTTCTAGCCTTACTTGTGGAGGAAGACCTTAGGTGACCTTCAGGAATGGATGGGTACTTGAGTAGAACCACCGTTTTTTCATAAGTTAGCTGGAGAGCTTCCTCACTTAAAAGAATACTAATTCCCTGTAGGGATTCGAACACACAGCGGTGAGGTGCAAGTGGTTTGACGTCAGCGACCATAAATACTTGGCCACAGACATCCCAATTTATAGTCTTCTCTTGGATATTTTAGCATACAGTAGATATGTTCTATATATAGCTGACAGTACTGGGCATTACACATGTCAATGTTCTATTTTTAGAATGTCGCATAGATCAAGCACCAGTAAGATCTCAATAGTTGACGGTGAGATACAGAGGTCAAGTCAGGCGTCGCGACACTCAATCGTTCAAAGTGAGATGCAAGTGCCGGCAATTGATATAACTATGCAACAGGAAGGTACTGCAACTGCTGAGGCGTAACACCACTAAAGAAACAAAGCTCTGGCAAAATGCCATTAAATATTCACATAACTTTGATGGAATGCATACCTGTTCGGATGTGGTTAGGGATGGCGGGAAACAATTATGTGGCTCATTTCATAACTACCCATTAATTGAGATTCTGGGCAACATTTTACGGATTTTAGCATACAATCAGTGCACAGTTAACCAGCAACATTTGTCAAACTTTCAAAGACTCCTCCAATAATGCACAGAACTTTTCTTTATTTCATACTAGTATATGAAGATATGCAATAGGAAAACTGACATTGCAATACAAATCACCGATTAACTATCTTTTAAAGATATTCTTAGGCTTATAGGGTAGATATGATAGACATTTATATTGTCAAGAGAGGGTGTTAAGTTTTTTTGTTGTTGAAAGTACACTGAAGATTATGAGATTTTATAAAAGTATGCAGATTCTCATTTGATATTTATGTTACAGGGATATTTTGATAAGAAAAAGATTCCATTCTGGACTTTATATACATTTTCATCATGCCATTTACTCAGTTGGCATACAGTTTCAATAGTCCATTATTATTTGTTGGCTATTGTTAATAATGAGTTAACTATCTGTGAAGAAGAGGGTTGTATCTTGCTCACTCGGGCTCATTTTTAGTGTCTGGTGGCATTTGAGGTCTTGCTACATCAGTTAAACTACATGTAGGCCTAGTCGGTAAATGGAGTTTATAATTTATACTGTATAAGTAGTTAAGTTAGCGACAGATAGAATTGGCGAATTTCGCAGATTGATGAAAATCTCTAAAATTTCCTATAATATAAATATCAACCTATCTTAAACATTGAATTCTACCCTTGCAGGATTCGCCAATATTTCCTCACGTGAAATGTCTGGAATTTTTAATTTGCTAACTTTTTGACACATGGAAATATACACTTATAGCATAGATAATTTAAAATTATGTGACCAATTTTGATAACTGGAAAACAAATTACAATTTTTTAAAATACATCTGGACATTATGGATATAAATTCATTGACAAATAATAAAAAGGGTTATTAGAAGAGAACCTAGGTCTAGATCCAGTTGTATTTTGCTTTCATGGTTTTCTACAGACCTCGGAGCACAGTTCACATTGTCCATGCCTCATGTAATCCCAGCTTATGGAAATCCACTCATGACAAAATCAAATACGAGATCATGATATTAATACATGGTATTTTCTGTATCATTGTCTTTTGTACAATCATTCAGAATGCAAAGTTGATGTTCCATACTTTTCAGTAGTTGTCTTTATTTTAAATTTTTGCTGTACTTAGTTAGTTTTATATGTGAACTCGACATGTTGTTATATTATAATCATTCTTTACATTGAATAAAGTGCCTAGTGAAACAAAAGTGTACTGCTGAAGCTATTCTCCATGTTTTATCATGAACAATTTGCTATTTTATATGTTTTTATATCAGTATTTGTTTTATTTTTATATTTTTGCTCCATTGTTAAAGCTAAGCTGCTGATGTTGGTGTTTTATTTTTACATTGTACAATATGTATCATATTGCCCCTGATATTATACAATAAGTATACATATTGTATCTTTTAGGGCATGTTTATGTTAGTTATATGTTTAAAAGTTTGAGTTACTTGTTATTTTTATCTCTGCTTGTTCGAGATATTGTTTGTGGATCTAAGAATAAAGGGACACAACTCCAGATGAATTATATTTCAACATATGAACAAATATTGAAATACAGTAAAAATTATGTTTTATGAAAAAAAAATTATCATTTGAAAAATTGATTATATAATTATAACAGGGCGTATATGTAGATTTAGGAATAAAGGGGCATAACTCCAAATTAATCATATTCAACAAGAAAGACTTAGTATACAAATTTTGTTTTTATGGAAAAAAGTAAATAAATTTAATTTGACTTTATAATGATTTCAGGATGTCAGAAAATAAAGGTCTTAATATTTATTTTATAATTCACAAAGTCTTAAAGATTGCTATATGCTCTTGTGTAATAATTTTTTTCAAAATGAACAGTGTCAATTCTTAAAATTACTTTATGTATTTAAACTCTCAATATTAATTTTACCTACATACATTGTATTTTTGAATTGTTATAGCATTTTCTGTGATATAATATTTGTTTTGTTGTTTAGATTCATAATACATGTAATATCATTTTCTTTTCAAACATCTTTTCATAAATGTTTATTATATACATTTACTACACATTTAATATCATATATTTGCACCATGATTTAAAAAATGTTTTTCGGATCAGCATAATTCTGCCATTTTGTCCTTCTTACTGTTTCTCATAATAGCCCTTCAATTAATAGACAAATATTATTCTTACATGAACCGATAGGTAATAAGTTAGATGGTACCCATTAGATGGAATTTAAGGTTGAAAAAATGGGTCAAGGTCGCAAAAATCAAAGATGCTCTAAAACCATAATTGAAAGAATTTAAAACTCATGACTGTGTGCCTTTTCTAAAAAGGGCAATATTTATTTATTTTTTGAGACATGATGTGTCTTTAAATAGGAAATGTTATTTATATACTTCTTTGCAATTTTTCCTGTGGGGAAAAAAATAATCAGAAAAATGGCATAGTGGATGAGGTGTGTGCCTCTCACCCAAAGTGTCATAGGTTTGATCCCTGCCCAGGTCACAAGCATGTTTCCTTATTTGAGAGAGGAACAAAACTAGTAAAGATTTATGCTTTCTTCATCATTAAGCTAAAAATAATACATGTCCTTTAAAAGCACTACATGTGCAATTTTTACCTCTTTTTTTGTGTGTAATGTACTTTTGTTACTTATTTCGTATTTGGCAATGTTGTTTTTATGCTAGATTATATGAATTTCAAGTAGATAGGTTAACTGCCAATAATTATGTAACATTTATGTAACATATGTAAAATAAAATTGGACTATTAGTGAGTGACTTAGGCCTCTCATATTTTTCCACTTCATTTTCTCTTTCTTGGTGTCAAATTTATAATGTTTTCAACATTTTAAGGAAGGAAAAAGCTCTAAAAGCAATCTGAGTTTAAGTAATGAATTAAAATAAGTGTTTACCTTTGTTTTTTATTCTTGAGTAAATCAATATGAAAATATGTTATTTTGAAATTTCATTGTCAATGAGGAAAATACAAAATGTAATTAGGTATTGAAGAAAATAATTAGGTATTGACTAATAACTAGTAGTTTGTTTGGGCTATTCCATTTGCGTAACTGATATTTTTATATGGGTAAATGAATGTAATGTTACATCTCATGTGTTCATTTTGAATATATGTTTTCTGAATAAACACAGTAATATCAATCTATATGTAACATAAATCAATAACATTTAAATCAGGCCCTGTGTTTACTAAGATTTAGGGATCAGAACTGGATTTGTAAACTCAAATATTCTCCCATTATTTATCCTCAAAGATTAAATATTCTTAATTTTTAACATTATAAAATTTGACTTAAAATAACATGCTTAATGAAATGGTATGATAAATTGATTGTTATTTTACAAGATTGATCCAAATATTGATCTTGATCCTTATTTGATCCAATTATTTTTGTATTTTTTTAGTTATTCGCGATTTTATCCTAAAATTACTCTAAGGGTTGTTTCTTTGCAAATCAGCATTTTGTTTTACATTCTGTCTATGTGCATTTCAATTCTAGCAAAATTGGATAAATTTAGTTTTATAAAACAATGAATATAAAATAAGGATAATTTGATCCTGATCTTTTTTTTAGTGAACACGGGGCCATATCTTTACCATTCTGTTACTTGTTTTATGTGAATATACATGTATTGTGTGAACATAGACATAAAAATAATTTCTGTGTGTAAAGTTTATCATCTAGTTTCAATGTTATAATGTATTAAGTTGTTGATAATATTTTTCTCAAAGGCATCATCAAGATGTCAAATGTCTGTTATAAGACTACTCTTTTATAATAAAAATGTGCTGTATTCCAATTGAACATGTTGTATTTTTTCTTTACACCAAATTCTACCTATTGTTTTTAAATGGGAGCTTTTTAGGCTAGTTGCTTTCAAATAAAAACCTTCAAGGACCAAGTGTTATCAATATGAATTTTTCTGACTTATACTTTAGTGTGTGGCAGCAACAGTATTCTAAGATTGATAGCTGCCTGGGTTTTAACCCAATAAGGGGCAAGCTGTTGTTTCCTTGAGCAAGTAAGTTTACACTCATTGCTTGAAGCACTGCTTTAAGAATCAGTGAGTCTATACCCTTAAAGCTTCCAACACAAACTAAAATAAAAGTTGTATAAATTAAATTTTACTTTTCCTTTCAAATCTAAATTGTCTATTCTTGGTTAAAGGGATTTTAATATCAATATGTTTTAATCAATAGAAGAAATTAACTGTGAAAATGATTTGGACTGTGCAGATAATGAAAGCTAACCTGGTTCTATAATTTACATAATGGCAAGTCATTATAGCTACTATTGTGCAGTTTGTTTTTGTTTCCTTATAGAAGCATACATGGTACAAATTATCAATTGATCTAAGGATCACTTCAGTGTTTTTCTGGTCTTTTGGGATCATTAATGCCAGCACTATTAAGTGTTGGGAATTGAGTACCGCTCAAGCTGGTCCTAAGGGGCGTAAGGTACATGTATGTTGCACTTATTCATTATCCCTCATGTACAGACTCAATCAAACAGAGTCTGCAATTTTCATGTAATTTTTGTTTTGATTAATGCTTCTGAGGGATTGCTTCGTTTCCAAATTTTCAATTTCATTTGTAACACTAGTCCCCTTATTAAACAGCTATTCATTCAAGCAATCTTGTTATATGTCAATCATGTGAAACAATTATGTATTCTTGCTATACTTTCCCTAAAATAATTCAGGGGAGGTAAGTGAAGCTAAAATTTCAGACTATCATAAAAGGCATGCATTAAAGAACAAATCAACTGGTTAAACTCTGGTTTGTTTAGTAGTCATTTACACCATTTATATTTAAGAACAATTGATCAGAAAGGTTCAACTTTAGTGTGTTCAGTAGTCACTTACACTATTTATACATCTGTATAAAACATTGAGAAAATGTTCATCTCTGGAAGGATTAAAGATGGTCAAACAAGAGCAATTGCCATGATGGTACAAGATGTCTGCCACTCAAACCAGGTATTGTGGGTATAAACTTCAGAAGTTCACAGCCATGTTTCCTCACAGTTTAAGTGCAGTAATCCCGAATTTAGATTTCTATACATATTAAGTTCACAGCTTAGTGAAGTCGTACTTTCTTTTAGCCACCATAGATTCTTAATCTTCTGGGTTCACAGCCATGATTCCTTATTTTCCCAGTAGTGTGATTTATCCAGTAAGCAGACTTTAAAGTAGTTCATATTAGTTTAGGTTAAGCTTTTCTAACATCTTTAAGCTAACAAAGACATAGTCAGATTGGTTAATGAATTTTATTTAAATATCATCTATGTTAAATACTATTTATAACATAACTTCTAATTGAAAAGGAAACATTTTATGAAAAAAGAGATATTTGTGAGCTTGGCAATTTGAGTGTTTTTCCCCATCTAAGTCCTAAGTACAAACAAACTTTCACAGTTAAAAAGCTATTGATAATAAGCATAATCTATTGAGCACTGTTGTAAACGATAGTGCAATGTGAAGCTTTATCACATACCAGTGTCGCTTATGCATTTCCTTAAAAACAGTATTGCATGGCTGTGCATATATTTTGTTGTGACATTATAAGTGTTATACAAACATTGCCTAGTAAACAGATTTTATGTTGGCTATGTGTGGAAATGCCTAGTAAATAAATTTTATGTTGGCTATGTGTTAAATAGAAAATTAAATTTGTGTAGATTCATAACTTTATTGAACTTGTTGAATAAAATAATATTTTGCCAGAGGCTCGCATAATATAATTTTTAACAACATGTTTAATAAATTCAATATTGAATCTACACTTTAATATCTATATAATGGTCAAAGTTTGTACCCCTGAATTAGACGGAAAAACCCCACATTAACCAAGTTCTGGTTACCATCTATTACCATGCCACAATCGCCTGCTGGACGAAGTTTGGAAGTAAAGATGAATGAGAATACATTCTAAAATAGCACTTCTTTACAAGATTAAAAATAAATAAACATTGGTCAATCATATATAATCCACACTTTTAATGAACATACTGTTTCAAAATTAAGAAATAATGTCTTAGATATACAAAATGTACATGTTTTAGTTTACAATATTCAAAATTAACACACTTGAGAAAGAATTACAATATCTATAGATAACATCAAAATATGCGTAAAAATCTTATACACTTGAACTGATAGCATAATAATTGGTTGGAAAAATGAAAATATTTCATGTAAAATTACAATAAATACACAACAACTAAATAATCAATACATGATGTACCACAAAAACGTTGCCTAGCACTTAATAATCTTACTAAGTAAGTATATGTAATTTCTTTAAGTGAAGTTATAGCTTTAAAATGAAGAGCAATGCACCATCTGAATAAAACTCCTTCACTGAAATTTGCAGAGGCTCTAAACACTGCACACCCTATCTCAACTTTCTACAATAAACATGCTTTGCTACTCCTAACAGCAAATCATCAAATGTAGTTTGTCTGCCAAAAATTTAAACACGATGAATTTTTATTGAGATTTTTTGTCTGTATCTGATAGCAATGAAACAATAGACCATTGCATTAACACATTAATTTTGTTCTTTACATCACATCTTCCATCACAGCACGCTTTCTTTTCCGATGATTTTTCACCATTTCTGACGTGGTCAGTTTTTCCGTCTGTCTTGTCTCCCATCTCATGAAATCATTAAGTCCTAACTGACCAGCTTTAAATAAAAGTCTTTCTGATTCGTCCAGTTTTTCTGTGAGTTTTGTAGTGTCTTCATTGTAAGCATTTTGCGAGGAGTCCATCACTTTCCTAAACCTTGCCTGAAATGCCTGAAAAGTATAAGGAAATAGTCAGTATTTATTTAATCTATAAGCAATAAGGATAACTTGTCTATGATTTCAATTAAAGAGCCAGGCCATCCTGCACATTTGGAATAACAAGGCTGTTTACTGTAGACTGATTAAATATATCTGAATCCCTTAAATTTACAATGGACCAATCCAAAATGAAAGAAGGAAAAGTCCATTATACAATTTTAGTCTGGTAAGGGTTAACTATAAAACTTGTACATATTAGGACAACTTCGTCAGTCACAATTAAATATATATTTATTCACAAAATACATGTTCAGTTTAATTTTATTTTGTTCAGCCTGGTAATAACTGTTGGGTGGACAGAGGTACAAATCAGGCAGACAAAGTACAAGTCATGGTACTGAACTGTTCACTAATGAAGGGAGATCTGTAAGTATCTGGATAGCTTAGTCGCTAGAGCTGCGATATGGTATTCCAAGGGTCTTGGATATGAGGCCCAACAGGCTCCACATTTTTCTCACCCTGTGACATCTGGTGCTCATTTTACATGTCAACAAAGAGCACATACAAGTCATTATATGATATTAACCAACTCATAGAAAGTTAAATCCTATTATTTCCTTTCTACCTAACCCACAGAAAATTGAAGTTAGATAATTTTTTGACATATGTGCCTGCTAGTGTTAACTGAATATACCCATTCCATCAGTGCAAAACAAGAACAGACACACAGCACATCTTATCATGGTCTGCACTGTTTGCCATTCAGCCAGTACATAATATATTATTTTGAAATATTCCCTTACAATGAGGAATGGTTTTGACCATATTGAAAGACAAGTTCATTTAAGATATTTCACACCATAAGGATTAAGAATACATATCTTGCCAGAGTGCTGTAAAAGTCGAGTAACTGTATGACTCTTGCTCCACTGTTTCGGGAAATGCCAACATGTTGTTGAGCATAAGAGACTTCCATGATAAATGATAGATTAATCACTACATTCATTACTTTCTATTGTCACCTGATAAGGCATGGGAGCAGTGACGTACTGGTTAAGGTGTCTGCCTTTCAACCTAGTAATTATTGGTTCGAGCTCTACTCAGATCATGACCACTTTTCTTTATATGACACCAGTACTGCTTTAGGTAACTCCAAGCCGGCAGACCCAAAAATGATAAATATCAGTTGCAAGAACTTGTTTTGCAATCAAGCTTAAATAAATATGTTTAATCTATTAACTGATAAGACATCTTGACGAGACTTTAATTATGATCAGACAGGGAGATAAATCTTACCTTGACAAGGATCTTAGCAACATCCGGTGAATCTGGCAACTCAAATTTGAGCAAGTGGGTCCCAAAACTGTAGTAAAATGGTCCTAGCTTATGTAGGTCAACTACGGAGGCATCAGCTGTCAGAATCTCACGGTATGATTCCCTAGTTTATACAAAACAAAATTTAAAACATTTATTGTCATTGAAAAAGGACTTAGGCAAAAAATGTTAAAAAGTGTTTATCTTGTATATAAAAAAATACGAAATTTAATTTACATTATGTTGTATGCTTTTAGCACAATACAGGCCAAATAATGCCAAAAGAATTGAATGCAAGTAGTAGAATTTACTCAATTCAGAAAGATAACTAAATGATAATAAATATTCAGCACTTAATCAACCCTTCGCCTGCTGTCATCATGATTCTACTCATGCAACAAGTGTCAGCACTGATAACTATTCAGTCGGTAAATTTCTTATGATATTTTATTATATGATATCAACCAAGTCATAGTAAATCATATTGTAATGTGCTCCTTCAGCAAAGCCCACTTTGTTCTGCCAAATGCAGGGCTTCCATTAAGTTCCAATATTTTGAAGTAAAAAACTGCAAAATACCTAACATTGGAAGTCACATTATATAGATATAGAAGAAAAAGCATTATATTTTGGAAGTCACAAGCCAAAATCAGCAGTAAATGACTCCCAAACTTCCACTAATGGAAGCCCTGGCCAAATGTAACCTTGGTGGCTGCTATCAATATAAAATAATTGTCAAACAGCACAAAAATGATTTATATACATTAATTATATTTCTACACATACCTGTAATTCTTTGGAAGTTCAACACTGACCATGTGACGTTTGCGACTACACAATGAGCGAGCCATCCAGTAAGGTAATTCAATCTTTGTCCCTGGGTTTAAATGATCACTCGTAGAACTGGAATCCAGATAGCCTGTAAAATATTATGATAATAAATTTTTTTTTTCACACAGACAAGTTTTGTGTTATGCACAATGATAATCAGTAAAGTTCATGTAAAAACTAATATTTTTAGCTTTGATATACTGATGCTAGTGACATCGGTTAAAGGAAATGAAAATGTGAAGCACAGTTTCTTTACTACATGTGTTGATAACTGGTGTAATGAAAATTATGATATATTCTCAAAATGGGTAGACAAGATGCAGAAAATGTATTATGTTATGTGAGGGCAAGAAAAATGATTGTTAGTGAGAATAACATCATGATGCCATTGTAAAGTACCTTGAAGTGCTCTGTAGTTCACACTACTACTTGGATTATATTTCTTTTATCTTCTCTTTTTTTATTGACAAAAAGTAACCTTATCTGACCTTTTATTTAAATAACAATAGACTTAACCACAAATGTGGAGATGTACTATTTTGTTAACAAACATGTTGTGGTGAAATTCTCATGTATCCACTTGTGTGATAATTAGAATTAGACAGTATGGGGTAGAGCTGTCATCGATAGAAACAACATTGATGTATTGTTGATATTGATCAATAATCAATACACATTTTAAAAAAACATCAATGTCTAGAAATTACGAAAATTCACCCAAAATATATATTGTGATATACAGAAGCTGGTGTCCATGTCTAACACTATATGCTGTTGTTACATAATGGAAATATTTCATAGCAATTATGACAAAAAAATGGTTAGGAAAATAACATCCAATGGGCATTTATAAACAAGACACTGCATGAACAGAACATGTCTATTTTAATTTTTTTCTGAAACCATTTAAAAAGGTGATTATGTGAATGACAGACAAGTAATTATAGCCATACAGATAATTAATTATCAACATCTATAAATAAATCAGGGTCAGCTCGGCCCTTAAACGTACTCGGCCCTCGAGTCAGCTTGGCCCTATTCAAACTCTGCACAGGTCAACTCGGCCCATTTTTCAATTTATTTTACATTTTGATTTGTTTAATCACTCTTTAGTATTGGAACCACATAATTAATGTCTGGACTTATTTACAAAGGTGGAAACATGTTTTCTTAAATTATAATTGCATTTTTGGTAATGAAAGAGTTTTCAATGATTTGGGTAATAAAATTAAAACTTATTACAATCAATCATTGGAACATTGAAAAATACATTGCATGTTGATAATTGCATTAGTTTTTACATGCTGTTTTATGTTTAAAAGATAAAGAACAAACATTTAAAATTATTTTATATAATAAATAAACAAGTTTTTATTTCATATTTTATTGAAGATTACTTTACAAACAAAAAGTATCAAAGGGAACACATTTGTATTATAGTACATGTGTAATTTTTAACGAATCTCGAGAATAAACATATTGACAAATTCATTAATTCTGCAGAAATACAATGTCATACATGTGAACTTTTTTTGATGATCAAGTGGGAGATTATTCTTCAAAAAGAGGGAGATTTTATAATTTGCAATGAACAAAGAAGTTCTGACATCAAAAAGAGGGAGATTTTAAATATGTTTTTTTTTTAATTCAAAAGTGGGCCGAGTGTTTCTTTAATATTTGTCATCTGACATAATTCATATAAATTCTTGCTATGCACGGAATCAATGACAGCTCTAGGTCAGGGATCTATGCATTGTAGACCAATTCACTCAAAAAAAAAAAAACACAAAAAAAAACACGGAAGTAGATCTAGATTTATTTTAGAAATATGAATAAAAACTCAATGCTATATAACCATTTCGGAATATCTTGAAACGTCTTCAATATATGTAAATTTTCCAATTCCTGATTCAACTGGAGGATCGAGAAAATATTTTTACATAATTCAGAAAAATTATATCGCGAAAACTAATGACTTTTGTGACAAAAGAATGCAAAGTCAACTTCTCGTTAGTTTGCACTTACCTAATCGATATATAGGCATCTCTATTTTACATGGTAATTTTTCATTTGTTGATAATATGTCATTTAGGTCGTAATAATCGTCTATCGCTTCAAGAGCCATAACAATGTATTTTTATTTTCTTTGAAATTTGGAGGGAAGGATAAGCAATTAACACAGGAAAACAAATATTATTCTTTTTGCTTTATTTTTGTATAATTATGATAAACTAATTATGATATATTGAAAAAATGTTTTGTCGATATAAAAATATGCATTTCTATCATAGAATTATAAATTTTATGGTAAAATACAAAATAATTACAAAAATAAGAATTTGTATAATACTCACTCCCGTAAGATTGGGTTTTTCCCACCGGAAGCTGCACGTGCTTTTGTTTGTAAACAAATTCTCCCCTTGTAGCAGTACGGAGGTAAGTTTTATTTGTTTAATATACTTAAGCACCATTTGTTTTAAGAATTAGTATTTGAAACCATTACTTTAACATGAAATTTTATTATTTTAATTCAAATCCAATTTTAGATCGTCGTTTATCCGAATAACACTCTACTTTTTCTATAATATGAGAGTAACAAAATAATTTGTATTATTTGTACATTCACAGGAACTTGAAATTCTATCAATATTAATGATAATATCCAAAATATACCCCCTAAACAGTATAAATATTTATGGGGGTATATTTTGGATATTATCATTAACTGAATAATATTGATAGAATTTCAAGTTCCTGTGGTACATGTAACTTCTTCAGTTTTTGCCACGTATCAGAAGTGTATTTTTGAGAGGGGTAAGCAGACTTATGTTTATCAGATGTGGCCCCATTATTCATTCCAGTCATTTTGATAGTTTTTCTTGAGAGTCAATATACTGTTAAGAAAAGAGAAGAAATTGAAATGATGTAGACAAATAACAAGTCAAACATGCAGATACTGCCTTATGTCAATGTTTAGAACTGTTCACTATTTAGGGGAGAAGATGTGTAAGGGGCCGGATAGCTCAGTTGGTAGAGCCCCAGTACGGTATTTCGAGGGTCCCACTCCCAGGTTCGAGTCCCGGTCAGGCTGCACATTTTTCTCACCCTGTGACATTTGGCGCCCAATGTTGGGCCGTGACTGATATACATGTAGTTCAGAGTTTAATTTACATTGCTCTGTAACTCTTTAATTCGAGGACGAATTTGAATAAAGCAGGGGAGTATGTCACGGTTCAGAACTGTTCACTTTTTAGGGAAGAAGATGTGTAAGCGGCCGGATAGCTTAGGCGGTAAAGCCGCGATACGGTATTCCGAGGGTCCCGGGTTGGAGTCCTGGTCACGCTGCACATATTTCTCACCCTGTGACACTAGTATCTGCATAGAAATGTTAGTTCTCCCCACAATTACTGCCAATAAAGGTATTGTGGTAATATTAACATTTATTTGCATATCATTTATGTACTGCTTCCTGTAAACATTGTAGATGTACTTTTAAAGCATGATGTCAATACCAGTAAAATTTATATCTAGTCAGTGAAAAAAATCAATTACATTCAGTTTTACAAATTACAGGAAATATTGAGAACTGATCTAACAAACAGCAGCAACTTAAACATAAGATATTAACTTTACTTATTTAAGGGACTCACTGAGGTTTTTTGACATGATGGGACTGAAAATATTTTTTCCAGATAAATATACCATTTGAGGTTTAGACCACTAATCATTGTGCAAAATTTCAGATCTTTTGCGCACTTCGTTTTTTCCAGAATAATTATTCATATTGTAAAAAGATGACCCAAAATAAAACACTTTTCACTCAGATCAGACTAAACAAATCATAAAACTAGGAGTTTCAATTTATTTCAAAGTATCTATGCATATATTTCTGTTTAAAGGGCCCCAGCTCATTTATGTAAGAAATTCAAAGTTATGTTTTTAGGCTTTAAAACCTCAGTGGAGTCCCTTTAATTTATGAAGTAAAATAAAATTTTTTAAACTGTTGTGAAAGAGAAAGCGTCTAGTTCAGATGATAGAGTTGCAAACTTTTTTTTGAGAGTCCCAGGTAAAAGTTTTGGTCAGGCTGCAAATTTTACTCACCCTGTAATTTATGGAAAACAATAAAAAATGCAATTTTTATGCCACCGCAGCATCTGCGATGCGGTGGCATATAGCGATTCACCTGTGTGTTTGTTTGTGTGTGTGTGTGTGTGTTATATAGATTATATAGTGAACTTAAAAAATCTTCTTGTGAAAAACCACTTGTCCAATTTCAACCAAACTTGGCAGGATTGATCCTTGGGTGAAGGGCTTCCAAAGTTGTTCAAAGAATTTCATTCCATGCAGAAATCTGGTTGCCATGGCAACCAAAAGGAATTATAAGAATAAATTTAAAAAATCTTCTTGTAAAGACCCAAAAGGCCTAGAGCTTAGATATTTTGCATAAGGCATTGTCTGGTAGACCTCTACCAAGATTGTTCAAATTATAACCCTGGGGTCAAAATCGGCCCCGCCCCGGGGGTCATTGATTTTCACTATATGTACATATAGTAAAAACTTAAAATAACTTCTTGTAAAGACCCAAAAGGCCTAGAGCTTAGATATTTTGCATAAGGCATTGTCTGGTAGACCTCAACCAAGATTATTCAAATAATAACCCTGGGGTCAAAATCGGCCCCGCCCGGGGGTCATTGATTTTTCACTATATGTACATATAGTAAAAACTTAAAATAACTTCTTGTAAAGACCCCAAAAGGCCTAGAGCTTAGATATTTTGCATAAGGCATTGTCTGATAGACCCTTACCAAGATTGTTCAAATTATAGCCCTGGGTCAAAATCAGCTCCGCCCCGGGGGTCATTGATTTTCACTATATGTACATATAGTAAAAAACTTAAAATACCTTCTTGTAAAGACCCAAAAGCCTAGAGCTTAGATATTTTGCATAAGCATTGTCTGGTAGACCTCTACTCAGATTGTTCAAATTATAGCCCTGGGTCAAAATCGGCCCTGCCCCGGGGTCAATGGTTTTCCTTATATGTATATAGAAAAAACTTTATAGTAAAAAAATTTCTTCTAGCAAATGCTAGAGGTTAGATATTTTGCATGAAACATTGTGAAGTGAACTTCTAGCAAGATTGTTCAAATTATAGCCCTGGGGTCAAAATTGCCCCTGCCCCGGGGTCATTGATTTTCAATATATACATATAGTAAAAAATAAAAAAATCTTATTGTCTGAAGGTACAAGGCTTAGAGCTTGAATATTTGTTAAATGATATCATCTATAGGTACTCTACCAAAGTTGTTCAAATTTTGCCTCTTGTGTCAAAATTAGCCCCGCCCCATGGGCCATAGGTTTTCCTTATATGATATATAGTAAAAACTTAAAAAATCACCTTCTCTAAATTTACAAAGGCTAGAGTTAAGATATTTTGCATGAAACATTATGTAGTGAACCTCTAGCAAGATTGTACACATTTTAGCCCTGGGGTCAAAAATTGGCCCCACCCCCAGGAGTCATTGATTTTTACTATGTACATATAGTAAAAAAAAAAAGAAATATTTTTGTCTGAAGGTACAAGGCATAGAGCTTTGATGTTTGCTCTATAATATATTCTATGGGTTCTCTACTAAAGTTGTTATAATTATGCCCCTAGTGTTTAAAATTGGCCCTGCCCAGGGCAGTGATTCTCATTATGTTCACATAGTAAAAACAGAAAATAAAAACAAATCTTTTCTGAATAGGAGAAAGCTACAGCTTAGATATTTGACTTGAAATGTTGTTTGGTGGACCTGTATCAAGATTGTTTTGAATTAAACCCTTGGGTCAAAATTTTGCCTTGCCCAAGGGGACAGTGACCTACTTTCTTGTCCTTTAATGTACAGCAATGAAATTTTGACCATGTGCACAGTTTTAGTTGTAAAATTGAACTTTGATATCAGGTAACTAGATTTTGATGATGTGACCTACTTTCTTGTCCTTTAATGTACAGCTATGAAATTTGAATCATGTGTACAGTTTTAGTTGTAAAATTGAACTTTGATATCAGGTAACTAGATTTTGATGATGTGACCTACTTTCTTGTCCTTTGATGTACAGCTATTAAATTTGAACCATGTGTACAGATTAAGATGTTAAGTGAACTTTGATTTCAGCTGACCTAGATTTTGACAAAGTGTCTTACTATGTTGTCCTTTGATGTAGTCATGAAATTTAGGCTGTGTGAAATATGACCTTCACCACCAAATTCACTAGACTCAAGTGCATTGATATATTCCTACTCTGATCTTTTATTGAGTTAACAACAGATTTAACCACTTATCTGATAATAAGAATTAGATAGGTCAGATGCATTATGACAATCTTCAAAATTGTATAGAAACAAAGAAAATCTGTTAATTCCTACACTACTATTTAGTGTTGTATTAATGCGGTGGCATAGCATTTTTCTCAAATGCAATCTTGTTTTAATCTCAATCCACCTTTACCAAATTGATAGCTGATTTTTCACATAAATGCAAAAGAATTTTTATTTTGGTTATTTTCTTTGATTTTCATTGCCAATTCAAGAAAGTAGTATCTGAAATAAATTTCTCAGCTTGTGAGAAATTTTGGGAAATCAGAAGTAAACATCAACCAGCACTGGAATGTTCTCTTCAATGTAGATTTTAACTGTACGAGGTCATTGCATTATCTGAGCATCTAAGATACACGTACAGGGTGCTCACAAGCCATGAAATCCTGAGGGTCAGTTTGACAAGATACAAGGCCGAATCCCCATGATTTTAACAAATTTTGACCCTCTAGTTGAAATCCTTAGGGTCAGATAAGGTCTTTTTGAAATTTGAAGGGTCAAAGAGTCATTTCAAGGGTCAAACGGACACCCTGCACGTATTTGCATGATACAACTTACAAATTCATTTATTGTTACTTTTGTAGGTAATCAGGTTAATTAATTTGGTCATATCCAGATTCCACACCAATTAATGAATATGTTTTCAGTGAATTGACTGGAACATACAGAAGTACATGTATAATAAAGACACCATATAATTATATTGACATCCAAAGGCTAAAAATTTAATCATTAAATTCTGTATTCTCTTTAATATGCTGATTACTTTTTGTTATGATAATTTCAAGGTTGTTTTCTGTTTGTTATGATCATTTCTAGTTTGTGAA